GCAAACACGTTACCACAATTACAAGAAATGTTGAAAACATATACCTCATCATAAATACGAAGCTTTGGGCCTTAAGCCAAAACATCGACAAAACCAAGATCATGTGCACTCCCCCGGAAGATCACAACAATGCTATAAAAATCGTAGAAGAACTATTGGAATATGTGGCGGAATTCAATTACCTCGGCAGTTTGATTTTGAAAAAAGCCAATATTGACTCTGAAATTCAGCACAGGATTATCAGCGCTTCAAGAGCATTCTGGAAATTAAAAGACAGGGTTTTCTACAGTCATGACTTGAGTACAAAAACGAAACTGGCAGTATACCGAGCAATTATAATCCCCACCATGTTATGTGGGAGCGAAACCTGGGTGTCGTACAGCCGTCACATGAACGCATTAAACAAGTTGCAACAGAGACACCTTAGACTAGACAACTCTTAAGAATCCAGTGGTTTCATCATGTCTCTGGATAATAGCTGCGAGAGTATTGAAGTCATGGTTACAAAATCCCGCTTAAGATGGGCTGATCACGTATGCAGAATGACAGAAAACCGCATACCAAAATCTCTGCTTTACGGTGAGCTTGTAGACGGTAAGAGGAGATCGGGTGGACAACTAAAAAGGTACAAGGACATTTCCACGAAAACTTAAAGGAGATTAACATGCAGAATAAGTGGGAAGAAGCAGCTCACTATAGAACTCAATGGAGAAGAATTGTAAACTCAGTTAACAGCGACAACCAAAAAGTAAAGAGGCAACAAAGCAATGAAATTTTTGCATGTGCGGAGTGCGGTAGGCAAATAACAGCACGTATCGGGCTTTTCAGTCACAGAAAAACTCATGAAAGAAAACGCCTTGCGTGATCATCTTCTGATGCGTGTTCAATACTCGTCAGCTAGTAATGGCAGTATGTATGTATAAAATTTGGGGCTCTTTGAGCTCCATCTACATTCCGAATTTCAGCCCCATAGCTCACATAGGGCCCGAGTTACGACACTCCAAAGACCCATCTCAACTTCCTCATTGGCTTACCACTTTTTCGATTGTTACCATTACCTTGTGTGTCACGGTCGTCTGGCTAGTTCGTGTGTCACGGCCTTGAATTTTTATTCCCAGGGCGCGTTAAGAAATTTCACTTCATCATTCGTTACTCAGATATTTTTGTTCTTCATAAAATTCAACTCTATGAAACCAGTCAATATTAAAGTATTTCATTTCGTATACAAGGGAATTCCAAAAATATAAAGTCATATTAGTTATATCAGAGTTAAACAGTGGTTTAATTTTTCGAAAAACGTTACTATTTTTCCATAGTCGATAACAGTGATTCTACATATTGTTACCTTCAAAAATTATTATTAATAAATAATCTGATTGTGATTTTTGTTATGATTAATTTATTTGTGGTTAAGGCAAACGTCAAATCGTCAACGCGGGTAACGGTGTTGCCAGCTTCTTGAAGTTTTCTTAAATCATATTTCACCTCATTCATATTTAGTCTCTAAATAATTAATTTTAGCATTTAACTTATTTTAATACTTTTATTTATTAATGATCTTAAATTATTATCAATTGTATCTAATTGTAATTGCATTTAACTTATTATTGTTTGATTTATTATTAATTTTCTTTGATTATCGGATTCATCCTGGCAACATTGGTACTTAACTGGTTGCGGAAGTACCTAGGGATTTTATAGCTAATTTTATATCAGGAGGGGGTTTCGAGATTAAAATTCCAAGCGCCCACCTGTCTGGTGATTTCCTTTCTTTTTCTTTTCGGCACGCTGGCAGTGAAGTCACGTTTTGAGTTGAAAAATCCTTTCATTTGATTTTGGGAAAGGTTAATAATTCTCTACGTTTAATTGATATTAATTATATCATACAGCTACGGCTGGATTGAGACGAAACTAATAGCGTTGCATCTTTTGTATTATTTCCAAGGAAATCGCCCACAGTTTGGGTAAGTTAATTTTGGATTATTAATTATCACGTGGGACAATTTTTTTATTGGGTTAATTTTAAATTAGGCACCTTGGTTTGATTTTTCTTTTTACACACCGACTTGATTCCACGAGGGTTTTCACGACTGGCTAGCGAGGTTCCTGTTCAAACCAATTGATCAGCTAAGGGGAAGCCACGTGGTTGGGCCTTTTGTTTGTGCGGCAGATCCTAGGGGATTTTTGGGACCCTTACGAATAAAAGCTAAGTACCAAACTCTTTATTAGCTCCCTCTCGTTCCTGCGTACTTAATAAATATTGTACATATTTTTTTTTGTTGCTTCTGATTAGTTTTAGTTAAAGACCATTTATTTAGTAATTATAAGTATCATTTATATCGTGGGTACCCCGTTTTTCATTTATATTAAATTTTAGTAGAGTAGGTAATTTTTTAGCCTAGGTTACACTAACTGGTAACCAGTATTACCAATTGTTGCAAATATTTAATTTATAATATAGTCATTTTAATTTCCCTATATTATTGTAATAATTATTTAAACCATTTTAAATTGTATTGTTTCAAATGATGAGCTACCCTACTCTGAATAAACTTAAACGTCTGTCTTGTTAATCTGTGTTTTATTGTGTGATTACATTGAACTAAAATTTTGTGTTTTATATAGGTACAATTTTGAACCCACCTCCCAAATGGGAAGGTAGCAATATGACATATACATATATTTCATTATTAACTTGTTTAAGCAAATGTTTACATATTTTGAAACAATTAAACCACTTTACTCTTAGGCATGCTATATCAAAATATACTGGTAGTGTACCCCAGTCAAATTAGTTAAAAAAGGCCTATCGTTGGAAAAAAAATCCCACAGTTTTGAAAATGGTTTTAAACGATTCCTCTAGACTTGGGTTGATATATGTCAAAAGTCCCCGAAGATATACGATGAGCTCGAGGGGTGGGGAGGAGTTAAATGTCATTTTTTTCCCTTTTTTTCTTATATCTCGAAAACTATGACGTCTACCAAAAAACGCTCTATATATAAAAATAAAGCTGACAAAATTCTCTATAAAAATGACATACATTTTTGTTCCCTGTTGTTGTTGACTTCATGGTTTCCTATGCCCTTCATTAATTTGAATACTAAATCAAATGGCATATTCCAAATCTGTACAAACACATTTCTTTTTATTGCACGTTTTTCGTTCAAATAGCGTTGAAGAGGTACGATATCATGTTTTTTTAAGTATTAAGTAAAATTTTTAGTATATACTGTGATTTTATAAATTTTAGACGTGATGCGTTCACATAAATCACTCCTTGACTGCACAAGTTATTTGTTAACAAGGATAATGTTTTCTGTTCATTTATTTTGCTTTATATTTTTGTGTAGTTAAAACAATCAAAACTGACATTATGGAAACCGACATATATTAATTATATTAATATATTAAAGAAACACAATAAATAATAATACATTTATAAAATAATAGTGAATTATTGTGTTTCTGAATTAATTTGTGTGTCGGAAATAATAAATACCTTCATAAAATTATTTAATTCAAAAGTCTTATAATGAACTTTATCTTTAATAACGTAGATTTTTTGTAATTTAAATTTCATAATATAGACCACGATATTGTAATTTAAACGATGGGCCTTTTTTAAACTTTTAATATTGTACAAAACTAAAAAAGAATTTGAAAGACCTACTAAATTAAAAAAGTAAGCTTAAAAGTACATGCATTACTATAAATAGTAAATTAAAATCACTTTTTATAGAATACAAATTACTTGTCTAAAACGGATGATGTGGAATAATATAGATAATTTTAAAGTATGGAGACTCATGTTATATATGTGGATATTATTATTGTATTCAATTATTGTAGATTGAGAAGATTCTGAAATCACACTTTCATATGCGCTTTTAAGCCTCACTGAAATTCTGCGAGGGAAGGCTCATACTATATTTGCGAAATAGATTGGGGAGTGCAGATACGTAAGTATTACAATTAAGTTAACTGTACCTACAGAAAGAAATGATGTAGAATATCATTGCAATATACAACTGTAGGGAACCAGACCTCAAATGCTAATACCTCAAATGCTTCGTGCTACATTAAAACCGTCTACAATCGTACTAACATTAAAAAAATCTACTACAGGCGGGGATAGAAATATTCAACTCTGAGCTATCATCGACCATTAACCATCATTCTTGGTTTTCGTATACTTTCAACAATATTTGCAGCTGCGCTACATGCTGTGGAATACTTTTTTCTACTGTAAAGCAGGCAAGCATTAATCTTTAACTTGCAGTTATTGTTCAGTCCTGTGTGCACTAGTGCTCTCCAACGGAAGACAAAAAGTCACAATGCAATGAAGACTTGAAAGATAACATTAGGACCCATTAGATAACATATTACCGTTATTAATATGAAAGGTTAAATTTAGACCAATTGGATTTTAAATGCGAAAATACAATATGAGAAATAGCGTTATTTTGTCAACCCTGTAACGCTTAAAAGGTTAGAGCTATGAAAAAAATGCATTCAACAAATTTTGTAGAGAATTTTCTGAGTTTCAATTTTTTATATATGGTATTTTTTCGTAGGTGTCATATTTACTCAGATATAAGCTACAATGTGAAAAAAAATTGACATTTAACTCCTCCCCGCTCCTCGAGCTCATCGTCTATCTTCGGGGACTTTTGACACATATCAGCTCAAGTCTAGAGGAATCAATGAAAACCATTTTCAAAACTGTAGGAATTTTTTTCCACCGATTTCTCTAATTTGACTGGGCTAGTGGACATCAATTATTACAAATAAGCTATAAGCGTCCTCAGCTGTCAATTTGAGCCTGGTGGAAAGCAGCAGTTCCCCTAGTATCCTAGATGTGGCGATTGAAAAATAATCTTCATTTACGGCATATCTACGAACGTAGAAGGCGTGACTGGTACAGTTTAAACGGCTTCTGCACTACGGTGCAAAAAGGAAACGGAAGTCCTACTGCACTAACTTTTCCAAAAAATTCAATATGGCAGATACAAACTCAGAAAGGGCCCTCAGTCCGGGGCACTCCTTAAATGGAGAGAGGGTGCGAAGAATCCCCCCGTATGCAAAACTTCAGATATTTGACAGAATTACCAGGGTTGCCACATGGAATGTGCGAAGTCTTTACGCGGCTGGTAAACTTGCCAACCTGGATGCGGAGATGCACCGATTGCAAATAAAGATCTTGGGCCTAAGTGAAGTCCGATGGCCCGGTTCCGGCACTATAAGAATAGAACACGGAACCCTCTATTACTCAGGAAATGACAACCCGAACCATTACAACGGTGTCGGAGTTCTGGTCTCTTCAGGTATTGAGAGATCGGTCGTCGATTTCTTTCCCATTTCGGATCGCCTGATGGTTCTTAAAATTAAAACCTCACGTCGAATAATGAACATTGTTCAGGTATACGCACCAACAAGTGAAAAGCAGGATGATATAGTGGAACAGTTCTACAATGAACTGGAAGACATCATGAAACTCACAAAGAAGGGGGAACTAACCATTATCATAGGTGATTTCAATGCTAAAGTGGGTGTAGGAGCAGAAGGTGATGTGGTTGGAGGCTTTGGGCTAGGCATCCGGAACTTGAGAGGAGATCGCCTGGTTCAGTTTTGCACACAACAACTTGCTATCGTTAATACATTTTTCAAGCAGCCTCCTCGTCGTCTCTACACTTGGAGGTCGCCGGCGGACTGTGATGAGAATCTAATTAGGAATCAAATTGATTTCATACTGATAAACAAGGAGCACAAAAAGGCGGTAAAGTCAGTTAAAACGTATCCCGGTGCTGACGTAAACAGCGATCACAACCCGGTGATGGATGAAGGTGAGGCGCTTCATACATGCGAGACCAACTAAGACACCGAAACGCATAGATATCAAACAACTCAAAGAACCCCTAAAAAAACAATCACTAGTCATACGCTAGAGAGGAGATTACACACTAACATCGAACTGGGAGCACCAGTCAGCGAAGTGGAGGAAAAATGGAAAATTGTGCGAAATGCGCTTTTCACACCAATACAAGCCACTCTTCAAATAAACAATAACATGATTGAACAAGTGTCATCCTTTAGATATCTGGGTGCACTTGTAAATGAAGGGTGTGATCCGAAAAAGGAGATCCTGTCACGGATTGAACAAGCTAGGAGTGCTTTTTTCAGTATGAGGAACCTTTTCATCAGGCGGGACCTCGACCTACAACTCCGACTGCGAATGCTTCGATGTTATATATTCCCAATTCTCCTCTATGGCTGGGAGAGCTGGACTCTCAGTCCGCTCATAGAAGCCCGCATCGAGGCTTTTGAGATGTATTTCTACAGGAGAATACTACGAATATCCTGGGTGAATAGAAAAACCAACACTGAAGTACTCAGAGCTATGCAGAAGGGCAAAGAACTCCTTACAACTATCAAGGAAAGAAAAATCCAATATATCGGGCATATCATGAGATGAGATAAATACGAAATGCTACGTCTTATAATTGAGGGGAAAATCGAAGGAAAGAGGTCAGTCGGAAGAAGACAGAACTCCTAGCTTAAAGACCTGCGTCGATGGCTTGATCGAACATCAGTCCAAATTTTCAGGGATGCCATCTCCCGAGTCACAATTGCCAATTGGATCGCCAACCTCCGAAGGGAGACGGCGTGCTAAGAAGAAGAAATAAGCGTTCTCAGCTGTCAATTGCGGAAAATGGCGTTGTTGCAAACCTAATTTACTTAAAAATGTATGTTCTGTTTATTTATTTTTCATGACCCTTTCCTATATTGTAATAGTTATTCTGTTATGCGTAGCGGATACGAATCCAATTAACCAGAGATTATTAAAATTGGTCCAACCGTTTTTGACTTATAAGTTGTGTAACTAACCCGACGTTGTTTTAATTATTTGGATATAAATTTGTGAGAGACCTAAAACAAAAAAGTATTCTTCCCGTATTATAGGTATATATGAACATCCAGTATAATTTTCCTTTTGTTTCCCTGCTATTTTTTCCTTTATGTTTGTTTCTTATTATTTGTTTTACTACGATAATAGTTATTTTTGTACCTAGTGCGCGAAGTGCGACTTTGGTGATCGATACTTGAATTTTTTAACGAGGTGTAGCCGAGTTGAAAAATTAGTAGAGATCACCAAAGTAGTTCGCGCACGAGTTGCAAACAATATTTTTTCTACAAACATTAAAATCGGGATATCCCTAAAAATTATTATTATATTTACCAACAACAAAATTCAAATATCAAATAAAATTTTAGAGTGTCAAATACCGGGATCAAGTACATCAAAATTGGATATTGTCTCAAGTCCCAAAACCCCCATATCTCAAGCAAAATCAGAACTATCTAGTTTAGATCTAGAACTATCTAGTTTGATTAAATACTGGTTCGTGTACTGGTTGTACTATTAATGTTAATATTGTAAATAATAACTAGAATATGCATCAGTGTTAAGTTTGATATTTGATATTTGTTTATTCTTGAATATTTCGAAATAAATAAATAGTTATGATTTAGTTCTTCATTTTCCAAAAATCAGAATTCCAAAATCCCATATAATTTACATGCAGTGTGCGAAATAGGCATTTCGCGCATTACTTCGCGCACCGTGTCATGGTAACGTAGGAAAATGAAAAAAAGTGTCACTTCGCACATTGCTATCAATTCGCGAAGCTTGTCATTTTTTGACATTTGTAGAAAACATATTTTTAATATTTTTTTTATCCATTTTTTTGAACTTTGATGTCATGATAGGGAAAATGCTGTTTGGTTAAAAATGTCAATAGGTATTAGATTTTTTAAGTGATTTTTGAAAGTACTTTTTTACCCGCGATGGGAGTAAAAATTGAATGCCATGACACACTATGGGAGTTAGGGGGCTGAAACTTGTAACGTAGATGTGGTTCTTCGAGTCCAATTTTCATGATATTTAGACGAAGTTTCGTGCTCTACGAAACACCATCATCAATAAATCAAATCAAAAAAATCGTCCGATTTAAATGAAATTATGTATGTCGATAGATTGGACCAAGGCTAACTTGACCGTTTACTACACGTGTGACAGTTAGTTTTGACGTGAGAAACGCCAAATTTTAATGTCGTCCTATCGCGACCAAATTTGATGGGTAGACTATGTGAGCGAAGGTGTACACAGTCCCACCCTGCAAAATTGGATACGACATTTTGTTTACATCTTCATCAGTGTGAGACTAAGGATTTGATATTGAAGAAAAATGTGGTTTGATTTCGGCATAATTGGGACTGGCTAGCAGCAGAGCTGAAAGCTCACAGAAAACTTAAGTCTTTTCTTGACTTAAATCATTTTAATGGCTTAAATCATTCGATTTTAAGTCATATTTCAAAAAGACTTAAAGTTTAAGCCATTTTCAAAATGACTTGTGATTTAAGTCTTTATTCTGAAATAGAAAAAAATTTAAGTCATTAAAAAAGATTTAAATCTTTTTTTAATGACATAAGTCAATAATTTACAAAAGACTTATATCTTTTAAAAGCTTTAATTCTTTTACGAGATTTAAGTATTTTTAGAAAAGATTTAAGTCTTTTTTTCATATATATTTATCGTAAATTTTTAACAGCGGCATCAAATATGTGTTTACCATCTTTAGTTTCATAAAAAAGTAACCAAACCCTGTAAAACACACAAAAATGGGACAACCTGTCACTGTGTACAAAGTACCACAAAATTTAATTTTATTTAAGTTGTTGATGTTTTTATTCCCTTGATGCGTTTCTTTTTTTATTGTTTATTATAGTTGTTTATATAATATTTTATTCTAATCTGTATCTACAATAAATTAATATAGATAATAAAAAACATCGGTAATGGGTAATACAATAAAATTAAAATTAACATTTAAAAAATAGGTATTTAAATTGAATTCTGAGTGTCTTGACTTCAGAATTATATTGAGTTAAGTGATTTCACAGACGAAAAGGACTTATATAAAAAAAGACGGCACGTGGATAGAGGTACCCGAGTGGAGTCCTCAGACAGACAGATGGACAGACAGGAAGTAAGAAGAAGTTTCACTTCAAATATGCGCACATAGTGCACATACAATTTTTTTTAATATTTTTATTATACTGTATAGAAAAATAACTATATTCCTATTAATACTACATTGTGTCGATTAAATTAAAACACTGTTTTTTTTTCTTTTTATTGAACGGTGTAAGTTTTGCCAATTATATTCTATTTTAACCGACATAGTTTGAAACTGTAAAAAGAAAAATAACCCTGTGAAGCTAAAAAATACATCTAATGATAATATAAAACAAGCACTTAGAAAAGGTGTAATGTAACATGCTTTTCTACTTTAAACCGTCTAAAACTAACAAATTATATCAAAGCGTCTTACATCAACGCTGATTAGTGTCATTAAAGTGCCGATAAAAGCATTAGAACTAAACTGGCAAGCATATTCCAGACGTTAAAATGATAAAATGACATTTTGCGCCTCTAGCTAGGAGACCTCTCGGAGGAGCTGTAAGCCCCAGATCGGGTCCACTCCCCCTAGGCCCCATAATATACTTCATACGAGCGAGTATGTGGGCGAATTAACATATTTTCTTACCCGTGGCTCTGGTGCGAAGTACACAAAATTAGTCTTCATAAAACTGTAGAATATGAGGATAAATTATACAGTAAACAAAGTAAAGTATAATAACAAATGAAGTATAATGAGGGGATACAGGGTGGTGATAATTTCGATGCTCAGCATTGGCATTTCAGAAACTACGAGAGATACCAATTCGATTAAATGGGACAAAACTTGCGTAATTAGAAGTTTGACACACACCTATCAAGAATTTAAAACCCCTGTATCTTGATTAGTTTCGGATTTATGTCAAAAAATTAAAATAATACGTTTAAATTAAATTACAATATCTTCAGAACTATTGTATCTATTGCAACGTAAGTTGGTAGCTTTATATTTTTGACTTCGGCAAATTAAATGCCGTTTTCAGAAAATTTTTAAGCCTTCTAGATTTCGCACAACAGTCAAGTTTTTGTTTTCTTATGGCCCCCATTTTGAATGTTTTATAGTATTAGGTAGAACAAAAGATAATCTATTCGGTGGTATCTAATTTTTATTCATTATTGTGTAAATTCACTATTTTTTTTTAATTCGCCTAAGATCAAGTCTGCCTTGGAAATCCAATTGACACTTTATATGTCAGCAAGTTATTTTTGTTAAATCTGGGCGCACAAAAATTATATAGTAGAGTTCAATACAGGTCAATACAAGAAATTGTATTACACATTTAAATTTAAAATTGTGATATTTATGTTTTTTTTTATAATTTTCCCTATATAAGAATCACTTATACAACTTAATATCATTAAGACTTTTAAAATATTGCCATCTTGTTTTTTAACGCTACCAGCAACTAGAAGATAGAACATACTATAGAGATGCAACCATAGAACGTGTTTGTTATATTTATATGGTGTTGGTAGATAGCATCCAACCGTAAACTGAATATACAACGTATTACTGTAGCAATTAACATTTTTGTTACACTAAAATTACTATTTTAGATCTTAGTGAACGTAGTAATATATTAAAATTAATTATTGTACTGATTAACTACCATATAATCGAAAAAAAAACGGTGTCAGCGGTGGCATGAAATGAAGATTGCTGTCATTTTATACCGGGTGCGTTTCAAAAGTGGCTCACCGCTATAACTTTTTAATTTTTTTTAGATAAAAAAACGAGATTTAGTATGTAAGTATATGACATAAAATAGGAATAATTGACGTATTCAATTGTTTTTGGTCACTTCCTGTTTCACCGGAAATGACTACAACTTTTGATTTTTAAATGACACCCTCGG